CCATCACTAGCAGCCCTAAAAAATAAAAAGGAGTACACTGAAGGGAAACTGAGCTGCATGTCCACAGTGGAGGTAAGGAGGAGTTCATCTGGAATACAGAACATTTCTCAGGGTGACTCTAGCATTAACAAGCCAGGTGAGTAAATCAGTGGAAAACAACACAGTCCAGGCAGAACCAATGGCACAGGTGCTGCAGGAAAGCAGACTTAGGTCATTCTACCAGGCCATGAGCCACAACCACCCAAGGTGCTTGACGAGGGCAAAGGGGATACAGAAAGAGGGATGGAAGAGAGAACTTATAGAGGCCAGCAAGGACCACCTGCTCATTTGCAGAAATTAACGCTGTAATTGCAATGAGTATTTTCTCCTCATTTTGTTAAGAACATGCCTGTGTGTGTACGTGCATGTGCACATCGGACTGCCTGGGTGGCTCAGTCAGTTGAGCGTCTGACTGTATTTCAGCTCAGGTCATGATCTCACAGTTTGTGGGACTGAACCTCACATCAAGCTCTGCACTGAGCATAGAGCCTGCTTAGGACTCTCTCTCTCCCTCTCTCTCTGCCCCTCTCTTAAAATAAATAAATAAACATTTTTAAAAACAATGTGTGTGTTTACAGGGCATCAGGGAGAAGAGTGAGCATCACCCATGCATTTTGCATCCTCTCCTGGGAAAGGGGGTTAGTGCATTTTCAGTTATATTCGGGATGGTTCTATCATGATAGATGGAATATCTTGATTATTGCCTTTATTTGGAGATTAACTATGGGTTAAGGAGGTATGTACGGGCACTGAATTGACAAGGAATGAACTGTCATGGTCAATTTTATGAGTCAACTGGGCTAGGCTATGGTGTCCAGTTGTTTGCTCAGATGTTCTCCAGATGCTGCTGTAGAGGTATTTTGTACATGTGATTAATATTTACAATCACTGGACTTTAGGTAAAGGAGATTACCCTTGATATGTGAGTGGCACCATCCAGGCAGTTGTGGCCTCCACAGCAAAGCCCTGAGGTATCCTGGAGCTCTGCATTAAGGCTGTCACATACATATCCTGTTGCATTTCCAGCCTGCTCACCTGCCCTGCAGATTTCAGACTCAAGACCTTAACTTCAACACTTGCTCAAGACTCCAGGCTACTACATGCCTTATAGATTTTAAACTTGCCAGACCCCACTCCTGGCTCCAAAATCTGTATTAGTTTGACTTAAAACAACAGAAATTCATTCTCTCTCAGTTCTGGAGGCCAGAATTCCAAAATCAAGGTGTAAGCAAGGCTGTTTGCGCCTAAGGGTTCTGAGGGAGTATATCTCCATATCCAGGTTTCTCATGCTGCTGGCAGTCTTTGGCATTGCTTCACTTGTCGATGCATTGCTCCCTCCAGTGTCTGCCTTCACCTTCACACTACATTCTCCATGTGTCTCTATGCCTTCACAAGGCCATCTTCTCGCTGTACACCACTCTCTTCTTCTCATAAGGCACCAGTTATGTTGGATCAAGGATACCCCAGTTTGACCTCATTTTAATTACATCTGCAATGACCTTATTTCCAAATAAAATCACATTCTGAGGTACTGGCAGTAGCACCTCAACATATCTGTTGGGGGGTACAATTCAAACCATAATGGATGGTAATACTCTCCAAGTTGATCTACAGATTCACTACAGCCAAACTTCCAGTGGGGTTTCCTTAGAAATTTATAAGCAGGGGCCCTGGGTGGCTTAGTCGGTTAAGCGTCTGACTTTCGCTTAGGTCATGATCTCATGGTTCGTGGGTTCAAGCCCTGCGTTGGGCTCTGTGCTGATTTCCAGCTCGGAGCCTGGAACCTGTTTCAGTCTGTGACTCCCTCTCTCTCTGACCCTACCCTGCTCACGCTGTCTCTCTCTCTCTCTCCTAGAAATAAAAAAAAGAAAGAAAGAAATTTATAAGCTGACCTTCAAATTCACATGAAAAAGGACTCAGATTAGACAAAACAATCTTGGAAAGGAAGAACAAAGTTGGAGGACTTAATTTTGTGATTGCAGACTTAAGACAAAACTACAGTAACTGTGGAATTTGTGTAAGAATAGAAATTTACATCAATAGAACAGAATTCAGAGTCCAGAAATAAACCCTTACATTTATGGCCAATTGTTTTATGGCAAAGGTTCCAAGACAATCAGTGGGAAAAAGATTAGTCTTTTCAGCAAATGGTCCTGACACAACTGTACATCCATATGCAAAAGAGTGAATCTGGACCCCTGCCTCACACCATATTCAAATTTAACTCCAATGGATTACTGGCTTAAATATAGGAGGAGAAATTATAAAACACTTAAAAGAAAACATAGGATTAAGGCTTCATGACCTTGGTTAAGCAACGATTTCTTAGATATGATTCTAAAAGTACCAATGTCAAAATAAAATAGATAAATTGGATTTCTTTAAAGTTAAAAACTTTTGTGTGTCATAAAGCACATTCAAGAAAATCAAAATATCACCTAATTTCTTCCTACTGTGAGAAAGTATTTGCAAATCATACATCTGATGATACTAGGATCAAGAATATATAAAGAGGACTTACAATTCAATACCTAAAAAACAATCAATGTAAAACTATTACAAATGGAAGAAAATTCAGTCAAGTAGCATATAAACAACAGCCTTCATAAATAAAACAAAACCTAGTTAGAAGCTACCAATACCAGGAATGAAAGACGGTCATTATACAGGCATTGAAATGATAACATGGGAATTTTTCTAACTTTATGGCTATAAGTACAACAAGTCAAGTGAAAAGGACAATTCCTTTCAAAGATACAAAGTACCAAAACTCCCTCAAGAAGAAACCAATAACCTAAACAACCCTGTAAGTATTACAGGGCTTAAATTCATAGTTAAAAATAAACAGAAATGTTGCAGCCCAATCAGTTTTACTGGCAATCACATAGATGGATCTCAAATACCTTATACTAAAGAAGGAAAGCCAGACTTTAAAGAATGCACATATGACATTCTGGAAAAGGCCAACTATGTGTATGGAAATCTAGATAAGCTGTTTGAGGGACTATGGGCAGAAGGACTCTGAAGGGGCTCAAAGGTAGTGGGAAGGCAGTGGAACTCTTCTATAGCTTGACTGTGGTGGTAACGTGACTGCAGCATTTGTCAAAACTTGCACAATTTGATACACTTCACTGTGTGTAAATTATACCTTAATAAGAAAGGTTTTGACCTTTCAGGGTGGCAGATGCAGAAGTGGTGACCGACCTAGCAGAATTGAGTAGGCCATGGAGAAAGCAGGAAACATCCTGACGAAATCCTCAGACAGAACTGGTGTGTCTACACAGGACTGTGGGAGGGGAAGGCACACCCAGTAGTGTCCAGGGGAAACTGAGAAGTCATTATAACCCCAAGTCTTCCCCTCACTCCATACTTCTGGTCTAATGTGCCTCACTGACTGTCGCAGAAACCTAGAGTTCTGTTTTCTATAGAGTATCATGGGAAACCCACAATTTCAGGCCCTGGACGGCAACGTTAGGTTAGGAGATGGTATGTATACTTAATGCAGAATATTAAGACACAACCACTTTCAACCTGAGCTTCCAGAACCTGCAGTAAGATCTCAGGAAGGAGCCTGAGATCATCTGGAGAAGCTGACAAGCTTGGAGGGATGTCCTGAAGCTACTGACATCAGAGGCTCCCCATGACTCACCCAGCACGGTCCACACCCGAGTTTCCAATCACTTTTCATTCCAGCAGTCTTCACTTCAAATGGAAAACAAAGGAAGAGCAGACATCGAACGAAAGCCTCCAACGTGGAAAATAAACATCAATTCAAGCAAATGAAAAGAGCAGTTTGGAGGAAACTAACTTAGCTGGGAGAACCTCCTTCAGGTTTAGACAAAAATGATGAGCACATTCCATGTTGTTCCTCCCACATCTCACAACTGCACAAGTCACACACCAGGAGATTCTCAAAGGGAGATAGAGAGACTAGTCTGGGACCACAGGACTTGAAGGACATGGGGGGGTGGCGTTCCCTGGGGCGTTTCTTTCCTCCCGTGTGTCCAGCTTGGATGTGGACCTGCAACCTGGAAACGGCAACACACACATGCGCACATGCACACTCTCTCCCTCCCCCACACTCTCACACACCTACACTCACACATTCTCATACATGCTCACACACTCACACACCCACATACTTTCTCACACATCTACACTCACATACTCTCACACTCATACACATACATACACACTCATACACCCACAAACTCTCTCACACACCTACACTCATATACATACATACACGCTCACACACACACCTACACTCACACTGTCACATACACACACCCACATATTCACGTACACCTACGCTCACACACTCATGCACACTCACATAATATACTCTCACATTCACACACCTACACTCACTCTCACACACTCACACATTCACACACTCTCACATACACTCACATTCACATACACCTATGCTCACACATTCATACATACTCACATACATACACTCACACACCCACTCACTCACACACACATACACTCGCCATCACACACACATACACTCACACACGCTCACACACTCTCACACCTACGCTCACTCTCACACTCACACATACACTCACACTCATGCTCACACACTCACACACATGTCCATAGCCCACACACGTACACTCACACGCTCACATATCTCACACATGTTCCTCGTGTCACGTGTCCTGTGCCGTGGTGGGGAGGTTCCCTCACGTGTTTCAGGCAGTCACGTGCCTTGAGCCGTGGCGCTGAAGTTCCCTCACGTGTTCCTGGTGGTCACATGCCCGTGTGCCATGGCGCTATAGTGCCCTCACGTGTTCCTGGGAGGTCACGTGACCTGCAGGGGCCCTGGCGATGCGGTGCTCTCACGTGTTCCTGGTGTGGCGTGCCCTGCACAGTCGCGCTGTGTTGAGGTCAGACGTCACGTGCCCCCGCTCCGCGGTAAGTCAGAAGCGCTCCTGCCCTTGCACCCTCAGGACCCTTCCACCTCATGGCTGCCCGGCCATCTGGAGCGTCTCGGCCTGCGGCCCCCAGCCTCATCCTGCTCCTGCTCCTCCTGCCACCTACCTGGGTTGCAGTCAATGCCCACAGATGCCCCAAGAGCGAGGGTGTCTCCTTGAACCGCGACATGGGTAGGACCCCTCCGGGCCCAAGTTGAGGAGGTCCTAGAGGAGCATTCCGGGCTTCTTTTTACGTGGGGTGGAGACCCTCCCCTCTCTGCCCCTCCTAAGCACCTTCCATTGCCTGCCCTCCCTTTTCCTCCATTCCCGTCCCTTTCCCTCTGGTCGCTTCCTTTCCATTGCCCTGTCCCCTTCCCAGCCTCCCCTTTCCACCCCTCCTGAAACTTTTCCTTCCCTGCTCACCCCTCCCAGGACCTCCCTGCCACTCTTTGTTTGGCCCCAACCCACCCTGCCACCATTGATACTTGCAGACTCTGTCCCTTTCTCCACAGCCTGTGGTCATCGTTACATACAGGGGAAGATTGTGGGGGGCATGGATGTCCCCGAGAGGAAGTGGCCATGGCAGGTCAGCGTGCACTATGCAGGCATACACATCTGCGGAGGGTCCATCATCAATGAGTACTGGATCCTGTCAGCAGCCCACTGCTTCCAGAAGTGAGTGGGCAGTGCCAGATGCCATTCCCTGGGAGGTCCAGGGCCTCTGGGGTTGACCACGTGGTCTGCCTGTAGCCGGGACTTCCCAGAAGTGGGGGAGAGAGTGGGGTCCAGCACACAGTTCCATCCAGGGCAGGCTCTCTTTGCACATAGCTGAGGGCTCCTTGGGGCCACTGACTATTTGAGATAGTTGTGAAGCCACATCATAGGATGAGAGGGTAGGAAAGACATATCTTCATGGGTAGCTCTCTGTACACCTGACAAAGTTCCTTCTCCCGAGCTGTTGGTGACCAGGACATCATGATGAGTCCCTGATTCCTCCAATGGCCCAGGTTAGGACTTCTTTGGGGGCAATTTTGCCACACATCCAGGATCCCAGTGTGCTGCAGGAATTTGCTTTTCCATATCTTGGCTTAAAGCCTGGGGTCCCAGGCCACCATGCTCCAGGCCTCCCTGGGCCGTGAACTTCTAAGAGCCTTTGCTTCCCAGGTGCAAGGTGCTCAAGCCACCGTGCCTCTGTCTTCTGTCCCCACAGAGAGAAGAGCACTGAGGCATTTGATATGTACGTGGGCCTTGTCGACCTCAATGTTGCAGGCAGTCACACCCAGTGGTTTGAAGTGAACAAGGTGATCATTCACCCTACGTATGAACTGTACCACCCTGTTGGAGGTGACATTGCCCTGGTGCAGCTGAAATCTCGCATTGTGTTTTCTGACTCTGTGCTCCCCGTCTGCATCGCACCCCCAGATGTGAACCTTCAGAATGTTGTTTGCTGGGCTACAGGATGGGGAGTCATCTCCCAAAAAGGTAAGAGAACTAAGGGGTCATTCTTTTTATCGGAGCTTGTGTAGGATGAGAGTTCTGTGTCACTACAGGAAAGAATGAATTCTGTCAGTTATGGGCATGCAGGTATCTGAAGACTGGAAACCCCACCCATCAATCACTATCTATTTCTTTGTCAGTGTGCAGTTTTGTTATCCCTGGCTGTCTTTGATGTACAAAGAGAAGCAGTTACTGAGTATGAAGTGAATATTTAGTATATTGAGAATACAAATATACATTTCAAAACAGAGTTTTCCTTAAGATTCTAAATTCAACTTAGAAACAATCTTGTCAGCACAGAGCCTGGAGCCTGCTTCAGATCCTCTGTACCTCTCTCTCTCTGTCCCTCCCCCACTCACACCATCTCTCTCTCAAAAATAAAAATACACTTTTAAAAAATTACAAATCTATTAGTTATTTTCATTTTCTCCATAATGGCCCCATATGTTCTTTCTAGGTTTATATCTGACTACCTTGGAATTTTTATGGTTACTGAAAACTTTATTTTTATAGTTTTTTAAAATAATTTTTGAGAGAGAGAGAGACAGAGACAGAGTGTGAGCAGGCAAGGGGTAGAATCCAAAAGCAGGCTTCAGGCTCCGAGCTGTCAGCAAAGAGCCCAAAGTGGGGCTTGAACTCACGAACTGCTAGATCATGACCTGAGCTGAAGCTGGACGCTTAACCAAATGAGCCACCTAGGCGCCCCTGAAAACTTCTTTTTATTTTTTTATTATTATTTTTTTAATGTTTTATTTATTTCTAGGAGAGAGAGACAGACAGCGTGAGCAGGGAAGGGGCAGAGAGAGAGGGAGTCACAGACTGAAACAGGCTCCAGGTTATGAGCTGGCTGTCAGCACAGAGCCCGACGCGGGGCTCGAACCCACGAACCGCGAGATCATGACCTAAGCGAAAGTCAGACGCTTAACCGACTAAGCCACCCAGGCGCCCCACTTTTTTTTTTTAAATGTTGTATTTATTTCTAAGAGAGAGAGAGAGAGACAGCGTGAGCAGGGGAGGGGCAGAGAGAGAGGGAGTGAAAACTTCTTTTTAAATTATATTTGCTGAATAGTCACATCTACTGATTTTTGCACATTGATCTTTCTAGTCACCTTATAGAACTCACTTTTAATAGCTTGTCAATTTATTATTTGGAAAAGAAACATCCTATTTTTTTCCAAAAAAAAAAAGACTCTTTCATCATTTCTTTTCCCATATTTCATCTTTTGTTTTGTTATTTTTTGTTCTTATTGCAATGATGCTAAGTCTCCTTCTCCTGTTTTCTATTTTAATGAAAATTCTTCTAATGACTTGCTATAAATTTGTGGTCTGGTTGGGAGACTTTGATTAATCTTATACCAGGTTAAGAATGTTTAATATCTGCCTTAATTAAAAACAATTTATTGAAGTTAGGCTGCTATAAATTCATATTAGAAAGTTATAACTTCGTGATGTTCCATGTAATTCCCATGGTAACAAAGAAAATGTCTATAGAATATACACAAAAGGGAATGAAGAAGGAATTCAAACATTCCACTACAAGAAAAAATTTGTTTAAGTACAAAATACTGTAATGCAGGAAATGATGGGCAAAAAGCTACAGGGCATAGAGAAAACAGCACCATGGGTTGAGTAAGTCTCTCCATATCAGTAATTAACTTAAATGTAAATGGATTAAAGTCTCCAATCAAAAGACAGAGATTGTAAGAATGGATAAAAACCCATGATCCAATTCTATGCTGTTTGTTAAACTCATTTGAGATCCAGGGGCACAAACAAGTTGAAAATGAAAGGACAGAAAAAAATTCACACAAACAGTGACCAAAAGAGACCAGGGTGGCTCTGCTAATACCAGATAAAATAGACTCTAAAACAAAAAGTTACAAGAGACAAAGGACATTATAGATGAGTAAAAGTTTCATTCAATTCAGCAAAAAGATGTAAAAATTACAAACATTTACATGCTTAAAGACAAGCCGTCAAAATATATGAAGGAAAAACTGGGAGAAATGAAGGGAGTACTGGACAGCTCTGCCGTAATGGTTGGAGATTTCAATACACCTTTCTGAATAATGGACCAAACAACCAGACAGAAGACAAGGAAGGAAAGAGAGGACTTGAACATCACAGTGAACCAACTAGGTCTAACAGACGCACACAGACACCCACCGCACAGCAGCTGCACACACATTCCCAAGTGCACTTGTGAAAATTTTCAGGATAGACCATATGTGAGGCCACAAACGAAGTCCCAGTATATCTTAACAGGTAAACATCCTACAAAATATCTTCTCTGACGCAGAGGGGGTGAAGTAGAAATCAGTAATATAAAGAAAACGGAAAAATTCACAAAGTTGTAAAAGTAAACAACACATATCTAAATGACTAAATGGATCAAAGGAAAAAATATCACAAGAGAAATTAGAGAATACTTAGAGACAAGTAAAAAAGAAAGAACTAAAATGTAATATACCAAAACATATGGGGTACAGCAATAGCGGTACTAAGGGGAAAAATTGTAGCTATAGCATTTATTCTTTTATAAAAGAAATGCCTATGTTTATAAAAAAAGAAAGGCCTCAGACAAATAACTTCACTTAATGATTTAAGGAACTATAAGAAGAATAAACTAAACCAAAGCTAACAAAAAGAAGAGGAAAAAAAAGCAGAGAAAATTAAATAGAGATTAGAAAGAAATAGCCAATGAGACCAATGTTAGTTTTGTGAAAAGATCAACAAAATGAACACATCTTTAGCTAGCCTGACTACAGAAATAAAACTGAGAACACCACTACTGACATCACAGAAGTAAAAGGATTACAAGAGAATACTAGAAATAACTCCATGCCAACAAATCTGATAACATACATGAAATGGAAAAATTCCTAGAAATGTTCAAATGACCATAACTGAGTCCAGAAAAAGTTAAAATTCCAACTGAGTTGTAAGAAGTAAGCAAGTTGGTATTCACAATACAAGTGAACAATACAAGTCTAGGACAAGGTGGCCTCTCTGATGAATACTGCCAAACACTTAAAGAAACAGTAATGTCAGTTCTTCTCAAATGATCTTTGAAAAACAGGAGAGAAGGGAACACTTCACCTCATTCTATGTAACCAATATTACATGGATCCCAAAGCAAGATACAAAAGCACAAGACACTATGCCTCGTGAATGTAGATGTAAAAATCCTCAACAGAACACTAGCAAACTGAATTCAACAGCACGTTAAAAGGATTATACAATCTGGAGCGTCTGAGTGGCTCAGTCGGTTAAATGTCTGACTCTTGGTTTCAACTCAGGTCATGATCTCATGGTTCATGCGTTTGCCCCTGGCATCGGTTTCTGGGCTGACAGCGCAGAGCCTGCTTGCAATTTCTCTCACCCTGTCTCCATGCTCCTTACACACTTGAGCTCTCTCTCTCAAAAAATAAATAAATAAACATTAAAAATGATTATACATGCCAACAAAATGTTATTTGTTCCAGGAATACAAAGGAAGCTCCACTTACAAAAATTAACCAATAGAACACACCACATTAAAGGAATGAAGGGGGAACTCATATGTTCATCTCAAGCGATGCAGAAAAACCTCTGACAGGATCCAACATCCTTTCATGAGAGAAAAGGCCAGTCAAAAAGTGGGGACAGGAGAGTACTTCCTTGGCATGACTAAGGGCTTATATGATCAACCCAGCACGATACCCAGCAGAGAAAGGTGGACAACTCATGCCTAAAATCATGAACAAGATAAGAAGCCCACTCTCAACACTGGCATCCTGTGTTGTATCAGAAGCTTCAGACAGTTCAATTAGGCAAGAAAACGAAATAAAAGGCACCCCAATTCCAAGTAATCCTAAAAACAAACACAACCAACCACTACAGACAAGAAACAATGTCAGCAAAGTTGCAGGATACAAGACCAACACACACAGAAATTAGCTGGGTTTCTATATACCTTCAGTAAACAATCACAGAATGACATTAAGAAAATAATTCTACATCATCTGAAAGAAAAGCTACCTTTAGTAAGTTCATCCAAGGAGGTGAAAGACTTGTACACCAAGTGCTACAAAACGTTGCTGAAGGAGGTTTTGAAAGACCTAAAGAAATGGAAAGACAGCCTGTGTTCATGGGTGAGAAGGCAAAACTGTCACCATGTCAACACCACCCAGAGTAGCCTGCATGTCCAGGGCAGGCTCCAGTCCAGGTCCAGTGTCTTTTCTAAAGAAATGGAAAAGCTGACCCTCAAGTTCATATGGAGTTGGAAGGAGCCCTAAGGAGCCACAACACTCTTGGAAAAGAACCTGACAGACTCACAGTTCTCATTTTCAAAACATCGCAAAGTTATAGAAATCAAAATAGTGTGATGCTAGCACAGGGACAGATGCATAGACCACCCCCTGTGTACATGTGTGTGTGCGTGCATGTGTCCAAGTGTGTGCACATGCACGTATGCATGTGCATGGGGTTGCACGTGCATGGGTGTGAGTTCTTGTGTGAGTGTGCACCCATTCACATCTTTCACATTTTTGTTGAATGCCAGACATTGTAGAACATTTAGAAGTGAAGCCTCTGTGCCCCAGAATAGACCCTGTGCTGAGCCATTAGTGGGGTGGCGAAGGCGGGACAGTCTGGAGAGGATTTGAGCTGGTTTGCAGGTTCTGCTGTTGCTGTGGCTGGCTGAAGTGTCCAAAGGCTCGGGTCAGCCCGTGGTGGCTGCTGGACATGGGGCCTGGGGTGCCTCTCCTTGCCCTGCCTTTCGCCTCAGCACCTTTGCACAACTGCAGCACGTGGTCACCTACCCTCCGGAGGGCAGCTGGTGCTGGGAAGGAGGAGCCCTGAGCTCTTCCGGTCCAGCCTTGGTCCCCATGGTGCCGTGGGCCCCTGTGGGAATCGGGCCTCTGTGCACGGGTGCTGCCACACCTGGGGCAGGAGTATCTTTTGCTCCTTCCAACCAGAGGAAGCTCATGCTCCACATGTGAGAAAGGATGCAAGCCGTGCTTTTGCAGGCCTCTGGTGACAGCAGCCACTGTACTCCTGTGTGGAGGAGCCCTCTCTCTGGACCCTTGCCCTGTCTCCACTATTGTCCCATGGGCTCTGGGTGGAGACTTGAGGAAAGACCTACTAGTGAGTGCACACCTCTCTGCCGGCTTCTGACCATCCTGAGCTACGTGCTGGCCACACTACACAAGTCATTGAAACTATTGCTGACCGCTTCCCACCGACACCTGCATTCCCCTTCTTCCCCTGGGCTCTGCCAGGCTCATTGGTTTGGTCTTCTGTCTGCCAGGCTACATGGGGTCGTGGCAGCCGTGAGAGCGTGATGGGTAGCTTACACCACCTGTCTTCTGTCTCCACCGCTGTCTGGGTGGTCAGCAAGACTCTCCACTCTGGGCTGGCTGGACTGGGCACCCCAGGCCCCTGTGAGCCCTGGGGGCTGTGGAGTCCACACCATCCTCCCCATAGGATTGTCTGTACCTTTTGCATGCACAGCTCAGGACCCAGCAGCAGGCTGAGGGAGCCGGGACTCTGTGCCCTCTGGGCCTCCTTCTCTCCCCAACACCCTCCTTCTGGTGTCCACCTTGGGGTTCCAGCTGCCTGCACACCTGGGGAAGTCTCCCCCTCCCTCCCTTGGGGCCCTTGAGGCCTTGCCTTATCTGGTGCGTGTTCCCGGGAGAGCCCCACTGTGGGAAAGCAGTTGTGTCCTGTGCAGACCTGTTGCTGCTTGCTTGTGGCAGGAGAGCAGTGACCTTCCTGTTGCCCTGCATGGTCACAGTGGAGGCCCCGAGATGTGTACAGCTGGCATACTTCTGCTGCACTTACCGGGCAGCCTCTTCCAACACGGCAAGCCCTGGTTTCTGGGCGCTCTGTTGCTCTGCATGCCTTTGTGTGCCGTCTGCCTCTTCCGTGTCTCCTCTCCTGACATTACCCTGCCCATGCAGCCAGCAGCAACCATGAATACTGCTTTCTGCCTCAGGAGCCTTCTCTAGCTCCAAAACTGGCTCCCCAGGTGCCCCTGGAGGGTGCTGTGCCTTCCCCAAACGGGCACCACTTTGACACCAGGACCACACGCGTCTGAAGCCTGTGCACACAGCTCTTCTCCCATTGGAGCGATGCCCAAAGCCATTGGAACCTCTCATACATTTTCCAGGAGAGCACAGGTTTGGAACCCACGACTGTGCCCATCAGGGTAGACTGAGGCATGTGGGGGTGACACGGGCAAAGCCCAGAGGTTCTTTTTTTGTGCTCACACTGCCCAACACTCAGCCAGCTGGGGACTGGGCTGACAGAGGCTTGTTTGCTCCCTAGCTGCAGCAGTGGGAGGGAATGGGCTGAAGCGTGGCATGGCCCTTCCTGCTTTTTTAGGAAGACTCATGTGACATTTATAGTCATACCCACTGAGCAAACCGGACACCCCAGTGCAGAGAGGGAGCCATGAGGAGGGCGGGAGCAAGAGGAGCCTCAGTGTGAGCCCGTGGGGCCCCAGGACCACCGGTGCCCTGGGGCCCCCTCACTGGGCCTGCCTTCTTTCCTGACAGGCCACACCTCAGACAAGCTGCAGGAGGCACAGATGCCCCTGATCTCACTGCTCCTGTGCCAGATGCTCTACGGAGGCCCGTCATATATCATGAGTGACATGCTGTGTGCCGGGGACATCAGGAACGTGAAGACCGTGTGCGAGGTGCATCCCTCTGAGAGGCAGGGGCCCAGCCCGGAGCTTTCAGGGGTTCACCTGCATTGAGCCAGGAGGCACTTGTGGGGTGGGACGTGGTCCGGATGGCCTGTCCCCCTCAGGGCTTAGGAGCATATCACCCTGTGGCCTTCAGCTGGGCGGGAGTCTCTGGTGGCTCATGTGATCCCAGCACCCGTGAACCCCAGTGCTGCCACACCAGCCCAGGGCTCCACATCTGCCCAGAGGGAGGAGGCCCTGGCCCTGCCCCCATCCCCACCCTCCAACCCACCTCCACCCTCCACTGGCAGGATGGTGCTGGGAGTACAGGCTGCCTGTGGCAGAGCTCGGCACCCCGCGGTGGGGCTGAGTGTGGATGGTGCAGGAGAAAGCCCTGAACGCCCCGTTCACAAGACCCCTCCTCTTTTCCAGGGTGACTCTGGGGGCCCACTCGTCTGTGAATTCAACCACACCTGGCTGCAGGTTGGAGTTGTGAGCTGGGGCCGTGGCTGCACATACCCAATGTTTCCTGCCGTGTATGCCCGGGTCTCCTACTTCTCAGAATGGATCCATTATCACGTGGAGCACACACCCCTCCCTCTTCAGCCGCTCCCCACCCGCTCCTCCATGCTGGCGGCCACCCTCAGTGCCCCTGTGACCATGCTGGCTTTCCTGTTAACCTTGTGAAGGCCCCCTTGCCTTCTCATGCTCACGTTGCAGGCCTCAGTCCCTGCCCAGCTCAGACCCTCTGGTCTCCGTACACCTGAGCAAGGTGAGGGCCATCGGCCAGGCCCCCATGTGGGTCTGCAGGTCTCACCGCAGAAGGGCTGAGACGTGGTAAGATATTAAATGTTTAACAAGCGAGCCTCCTGGAAATGCTGTGTCATCTGTGCACCAGGGCACAGGCCCCCTCACGAAGACAGCCTGTCACCTGGCACTCAGTGGCCTTATCAGGGTGACGGAAAGTGACAAGCTCGGGCAGTCAGCCCAGTGTCAGGACGTGGAATCGAGGTGCGTCCAGGCAGATGTTGGGCCCTCGTGTGAAATGTTTAGAGCTGCCAATGTCAACAAGTTTGTAAACTCCTGAATTTCCAGCATGAAAGTTGGAAGACATGAGCTGAGGGTAGATACGGAAGGAACTAAACAGACGAACACAGAACTCAGTGGACCAAACACCAGGAAAACATTAAAACTAACATTCTAAACATCTAGTTTTGGGGGGAAAATTCTGAAAGTAAGAAGTCACTAACTTAATCAAGATAAAAGCTGGGGCACCTGTGTAGCTCAGTTGGTTTAGCGCCAGACTTCAGCTCAGGTCATGATCTCACAGTTCTCTGGATCAAGCCCCCCATCAGGCTCTGTGCTGACAGCTCAGAGCCTGAGTCTGGTTTGGATTCTGTGTCTCCCTTTCTCTCTGCCCCTCCCCTGCTCGTGTTCTGTGCATATGTCTCTCTCTCTCTCTCAAAAATAAACATTTAAAAAAAGATAAAAGCTGAGAACAAAAAATACACAAAACAAGAAAAGATAAGGGTCTTTCTATTAAAGAGAAAATTTCCAAAATCATAAAAGGTATAATTCTATGTAAATAAATTTAAAATGAAAATTTTCACTTTTTAGGAAAAAAGTAACTTACCAAAGGTAACCCTAGTAGAGATGAAAGGCTTAAATAGACCAGAGTCCAGAGAAGAAGTGGAGACGTTTCAGAATGTGTAAAAGCCTGGGTTGCTTTTACACTCTTGAGTGTTCAGTGGGAGCCGTCAGGCCTGCTGAGGCTGTCCTGCTGCCCACGCGGCCCACACATGGACTGTGGCGGGGCTTCCAGACTCACCCTAGTGGCGAGTGTGCGTGAAGACGCCTGGCCACACACAGCAGAGGACTGCCACAGTCCAACTTTCAGTTAGAAACCCGTTAAGGCCTAGCAGCCAGAATCCAACTTTGTTTTAAGATAGCATGCTGTAATCAGGTAGAATTTACTTAGCGATGCAAGGGGACCCATAGGTATAAGTCACATGTTAATTACTTCCCTGAGGAGAGCGATGTTAATGAAGAGGCTTTAACAAATTCCAAACCCATTGAAAAAAAAAAAAAAGGAAAGAAAGTAAAGATAGCAGTCGCTCCTAAGGTCCTACATGCCTGGGCCTGAAGGCCACTCTCTCCTTCGTGGGGAAACAGAGCTAAGGCGGCCGCAGGAACGTGGCTCCTGTGGCTCCTGGTCCTTCACACCATCAGAGCAGCAGCCGCCACAGCTGCACAGGAGAACCATCCGAGCAAGCAGGAAAGAGACGTTGAAACTTCGTCGGAAAACTTCGAGCACATCCAGAGCCCACAGGAGGACACGGTGAAACTCCCAGGGACAGTAAGAGCATTCGGGAAAGTCACCAGACAAAACATGACAAAAGCGGAACGTGTTCGGGCCAGAAGACAACAGAAGGGAGGACACGTGTACGGTAACAGCGAGAGAGAGAAGATACTTACAGCCTTAACAAGAAATATGAACATCCACAGGAGGAAAGGTTTAAAATGCTCGGGGGCGGGGTGGGGGGGCGGCATGGAGCAAAGAAAGAACGAGAACAAGACAAAGTAGATTTGAGCAAATCTTAACACAGTCTTTGTCAGGTGAGAAAGCAACCCAGGTGTGTGCGTGCATGCCTGCCTGAGTGTGCATGAGTATGTGTGTGTATGTGTGAGTGCAAGCACGTGTGTATGCATGCACGTGCGTGTGTTTATTTCTGAAGCTACATAGTTGATTTTGAAGTTTATATCAAAACACAAGAACAGTGAGGAATAAAGCTACATGTGAAGGCCAGTGATGTGGTGGGAAGGACCCCAGCAGATACTGAGATGTTGCATAATTATAATAGGCCAAGGACAGGACAGTGTGTGTCTGTGCATTAGACGCTCAGGATGGGGTGCAAGTGCATGTGGGAAATCAGCATATGACTAATGTGCTCATTTAAGTCGCTGGAGGTATTAAGTTTTCAAAACTGCAATTTGGCATGGCCAGATCGAGTCTGTCCTGGAAACGGTACACATCCACCCAAGTACACTTTATCCCAGGAATTTAAGAATGATGGAACATGACCACATTTGTCCCACGTAGCATGCGAGAAACATTCGCTGAGTGCTGCAGTGTGCCAAGCGCTGTCAGGCCCCGCGGTGACAAGAGGGACCCAAGGGGTTCATCTGCTGTCACTGGCCCTGTATTGTGGCAAGAAGCTGAGATGAGCTGCAGGCAGGGCCAGGGCGTCTTTGCGGCCTGTAGCACCTGCATCACTTGAGTGTTTTACCTGTCCTCTGTCCCCTTCTGTTCCCACCCAGGGACCCTGGAGACCCAGCTAAGGGGGCCTTTTCACATGGCATAGACTCCGTGCGAAGAGATGGGTAATTGCCAGCCATCTGGGCAACTCGGTGGGAGGCACCAGCCAGAAGCAGGTCTGCAAGCGAGAGTTTAGGTCAGGGTGTGCACTCTGTGCTGCCGGGAATCCACCTGCTAATGCAGCGTGCACCAAGGGAGCGCCACACATAACCTGTCCCCGTTTGTAAGGAACCATAGGAGGCAGCGCTTACCCGAGTGCTGTGCAGATTGGGCACAAGACTGCAAGTCCCCAACAGAGTGCTGGCCGGCCTTTGTGCTTTAGCCACTGCCCGCACAGGCCTTGGGAGCCGCTGCAGAAGTGAGCGTGCCAGGGACACAGTGCCCACATGCACCTCACTGAGTGAGCCTGGAGCATCACTCAGGAGAACCAGGAGCAACATAACTGCCTTCGTTTCAGAGCAATCTGTGCACCTGCCCCGTATTCTCAGTCACTCTAAAATTCCAGTAATGACAGGTAGGGAGTAACCTGGTCAAAACAGAAACCAAGACCAAAAAAGAAAAAAAAAGAAAGAGAGGGAGCCAAAAATGCAAACTGGAAAAAATACAAAAAGACTTGAAAGAGACACAACCTGGCCATGGAAAGACACATCACCATGGAAACTAAAATCTCTGACGTTGAAATCATGAAGAAAATAGGATAACCAGTAGAGAGAGGGTGGAAGGGACAGCAGAAGAGACTCCTGGGGATGGAAGAAAAGTGGGCGTGGCCATGGCAGGGCCCCGTACAGGGAAGGCACTTGTGAATCCGCAGAGAACATACTTTGAGAAGCTCCTCTAACCAGTGTTTAAAAGAATTTTGGGGCCAAGCTTTATGATGTCTTGGTTATGTTCCCCAAGACTAACGTCTACACTTATCGTTTTATGTTAAACTGTTTTTTACATTATTATTGCGGTAAATACACATTACATAACGTTTACCATTTTAGCCATTTTTAAGTGTACGGTGAGTTCAGTAGCATTGAGTGGATTTGCATTGTTGGGCACCCATCACCACTATCCATGTCCAGGACGTTTTCTTCTTTGCAAACAGAAACTCTTACCTATTAAACAGTAACTCATGTGCAGTGCCCCACCCCAGGCCTGGACAGCCACCACTCCATGTCCTGTCACCATGAACTGGCCTATTCTATTCGCCCCATGTAAGTCCGATGACATGCTGTCCTTTTGCATCAGGCTTATGTCACTCAGCATGATGTTTCCAGGGCTCATCTATGTAACATGTATCAGAACTTAATTCCTTTTCCAGAGCAAATAATATTCCAGGATATGTATATGCTACATTTCCTGTATCCATTCATCTGAGGGTGAACATTTGGTTTGCTTCCACGTTTTGGCTACTGGGGAAAATACCACTGTGCACATTTGTGTACCAATATCTGTTTGAGTCCTGTTTTCAGTTCTTTTGTATATATACTCACAGGTACAATTATTGGGTCATTGTGGTAATTCCATACTTTAATTGTGAGGAACTACCCAAACTATTTTCCCCAGGCACATGGACCATTTCATATACTGAACAACAGTGCATGAGGGGTCCAGTTTCTCCACATCCTTGCCAGCACCTGTACTTTCTGATTTTATTTTATTTTATTTTACCTTATTTTATTTTATTTAGAGAGAAAGAGAGCATGAGTCATGGAGAGGGCAGAAGGAGAGGGAGAATCCCAAGCAGTCTCCACATTCAGTGTGGAGCCCAAGGCAGGGCTCAGTCCCATGACCATAGGATCATGACCTGAGCCAAAATCAAGATCAGACACTCAACCGACTGAGCCACCCAGGCACCCTCTGATTATTTTATAATAGCCACTCTAAAGTATGTAGAATGGTATCTTGTGTTTTGCGTTTCTCTGATGATGAGTGGTATTGACATTTTTTCATGTGCTTATGGTCATTTCTTTGAAAAAATGTCTATTCAAGCCCATTGCCTATTTTTTATTTGGTTATTTGGTTGTCGGTGGAGAGTTGTAGGAGTTCATTATGCATTCTGGATATTAATCTATTATAAGACATGTAATTTTCAAACATTTTCTCCTATTCTGTAGGCTTTTCTTTTTTTATGTTTTTTATTTATTTCTGAGAGAGAGAGACAGCGTGAGCAGGGGAGGTTCAGAGAGAAAAGGAGATACAGAATCTGAAACAGGCTCCAGGCTCTGAGCTAGCTGTCAGCACAGAGCCCAACGTGGGGCTCAAACCCACGAACCGCGAGATCATGACCTGAGCCAAAGTCAGATGCTTAACCAACTGAGCCACCCATGCGCACTGTAGGCTTTTCTTTTAATTGTTCTTTTTATGGTGGAGAAATAGACACACACACACAACATAAAACTTAACATTTTAACCATTTTTATTGTACATTTCAGTGGCATTAAGTACATTCACACTGTTGTGCAATCATCCCCACCATCCATCTCCAGAACTATTTTCATCTTGCAAACCTGAAACTCTGCCAATTAACCAGTAACTCCCCATGACTCCTACCCATCTAGAA